CCCCCCCCGTACTCCCCACACACACAGCAAGGAACTGCTTTGCTTTGCCCCAACCCGAAGAGGCTAAGCTGCTGGCCCAAGGAGGACAGTGGGCAGGCAGTGTGGTCACACTGCAGGCAGGGTCATCTCAACTGCCCAGCAGTGTGCCTGAGCCTGGACAGCTGGGGCTCCAACACTGACACCTGGCTAGCCCTGACTGCTTGGGAGGTGCAGCCAGAGCCCTGGGACCTGGCTCTGCGCGGGTCCACGGGGATGCTAGCCTCGTGGGGTATGTGTGACCTGATGTGTCACACCCAGGTGTTCACATGGCTTCCCCATGGACATGCTGCACTTACAGGTATACACTCAAGGGCTGCTTTGACCCCACCCTAGTGTCACTGGTTCCCTGCCAGCATGNTGATGTGTCACACCCAGGTGTTCACATGGCTTCCCCATGGACATGCTGCACTTACAGGTATACACTCAAGGGCTGCTTTGACCCCACCCTAGTCTCACTGGTTCCCTGCCAGCATGCCCCCCTTTGCAATAGGGAAGGGGAGACTGAGCCAGGGGCAGGGTGGGGTTTCTTCTGCATCCGTCACCCCAAGCAGCCCTCCATCCCAGCTGTTCCCACCACTTATCTTCCCTGTAAGAGGAGAATCTGGTTGAAATCACTTGAGGCTTCGGGGACTGTAAATACAGGTCTTGTTGAATCTTCCAGGCACTTGGGGGACATAGGTAGCACCTGATTCCCTTTCCCACTGGGACTAGGGTGCAGGGTCCAAGTTCAGACACATCAAGATCGACAGGCTGGCCAGCATCTACCAATGCCACACACACGGCCTCTGAAAACAAACACCCATCCTGCCACCATCTCCATGAGGGGAGACAGCCATGACATCTTCAGACTCCAGCCTGCAGTGCTCGGCCCCAGCCGGGAACCTACAAAATGCTCAGACTTGCCCTGAATGGATAGCGGCCCCGGTCCAAGCTATAGCTGAGTGTCAGCTACTTTGGCTACGACAAGCACCTTGCAGTGACCAGAAGAACAGGATGCAGTGTGGGTGTGGCTTGGCAGGAGGCAGGTTGGGTGGCAGGTGCCAGGACTGGGAGAGGGAACTGCCCTCCTTGGCAGCCAGCATAGCCTGCTGCCCCCGAGGACCACAGGCCAAAGATGTTCCAGAAGGCGACTTGGGAGGTGTGGTTTCCCGCTGCAGCTCGGTTCCATAAGAAACCACCAGGCACAGGGGCTGCCACATCCAGAGGCAGCACCTCATGCCCTCCCTAAAGTAAGGCACAGGGGCGCCCCCACCAGGGGGAGAGGGCGTGGAAGTGAGTGGACCTGCAGATGGGAGGGGCAAGGAGCTGATGAATTTAGGCAAAAGGACTCGCCGGGGCACCAGCACCGCAGATTCTCACTTCAGCTTTCCTAAGGCCCATTTGGTGCTTACCAGCCTGGCCGCCTGCTTGTCTTTATCTGAATATAGGATGCCAGAAATGAGGCTGAGGCCTTTTCCTCTGCATGGGAGTCCCTGAGTCCTCTGCTTTGGCCCTGAGAGTCACCTCCTCCAAGNTCAGCTTTCCTAAGGCCCATTTGGTGCTTACCAGCCTGGCCGCCTGCTTGTCTTTATCTGAATATAGGATGCCAGAAATGAGGCTGAGGCCTTTTCCTCTGCATGGGAGTCCCTGAGTCCTCTGCTTTGGCCCTGAGAGTCACCCAGGTGGGGCCTGGGTGGAAAGGCCCAGACCCCCAGCACCTGGGGGACCTCATTCCTGCCCTACATCCACTTCGGTCTTGTGCCTCAGGTCACTGCTTGTGTTCTCTGGGTTGCAGTTCCCCACACCTGGCTTTGATTTGCTCGGTCAGAGACCCCTGCCTGGGTGATTTCTGCTCTGTGGGAAGGGGCTCTTCAGCAGGGTTCCGGCTGTGTCCACGCACCCTGGGGCCATGTCAGGAGGTGGCCGTGTCAGCCCAGCTACTGGCCCGGGCTGCCTGGTACACACTGAGGAGGGAGGAGATGGTGCCCAGGAGACCCACCAGCCACGGCGGGAAGCGGCCTGCCCACAGGAAACCGGGGGGCAGCCAGTGTACAGCGTTGGCCAGGTCAGCCAGGTTGCTCAGGAGAGTCAGGAGTTCTGACTGGATCTGGGTCTCCATGGCCCTCCACTTGCTCCGAGACAGCTGGCTGTGGGACCAAAGAGGAGTCATTCAGGGGAGGCACAGGTGTGCCCATGCTCACCCGAGGGAAGGGAAAGGAGTGATCACAGACCCCATTTGTGAGCAAGGAGGAGTCCCTGTCACCCCCCAGAGGGAGCCCACAACTTAAACAGAGCACAGACCTGTGAAAAGTCTCAAATCCACATCTCAGTCCTTCTGATCCCCTGGAATCAGTCAGGGGGGTGGAGTGGGGACTAGCCATTGGGTAGGTTCTAGGCCTGTGCCAGGCACAGTACTTTCCCAGGATAAAACAGTGACACTGACCATGGTCCTCAGGAAACTGACCCCATCTCCTATCAAGCCCTCACTGGGGGCAGGGCTGTGAAGGCTTAGCCCTGGAGTCCTAGCGCTCTGCTCCCTGCCTATGGGCCTCAGGCAAGACTCATTTTCTGTGTGTGGGAGTCCTGCCATCCACCTGGAGGCGGTTGTGAGGCTCAGTGACCCAGCCACCACACCCCAACACGGGCCTTGTGCAGGGACAGGGCTAATAACTGCTGGCAACTCAGAGCACCCCCAGGGGGCTGGGGAACCCCCCCCCCAGGGCCTGTGGGAGGGAAAATCAGACTCTCCTGGACAAAATACCTGGTGAAGGCTGCTGCAGGGCTCCTGAGCCGCTGTCTCAGCTTCAGGACCATCCATAGGGACCTGCAACACCAGAGAGAATGGGAGGCCACCACCTGAGGGGCAAGAGAAGCAGGGTAGGGGTGCAGGGGTTCGATCCCCAATGCTGGCCCTAGGGGAGGCTCTGCCACCTGCCTCCTGCCACTTCGGCCACAGATTAACCATAATGGCTGCCGAGCTCTGCAGTAAGTGGCTCCAACCATCCTGTGTGAGGTGAGTCTGACAACTTCCTGGGCTCCGAGGGCTGGCATCTGCAGGCTGAGGAAGCAGCCAGCAGGTTGGCAGCCTCTAGTGCTCCCTCAGGACTCTCGGGCCCTAAGGGTACTCATGCAAACTGGCCCCCTGGCCCCTGTACCCTGCACCCTGGACTGGGGGGTGGGAGGGTGAGTATGCTGAGTCCCGCTATTGGAGGGCTGACCCCAGCCAGACTTCATGACTGGGAGGTCCAGGTCCTGTTACATCTCCCCCAGCCACTGTGTGCCTGCCCAAGTGACATGTCCCCAGAGACACAGGGCAGCATCTTCAGTGAGGTAAGTGGGCCTGCATCACAGCCACCTGGGGGACTAAAGCAAAACACCAAGTCCTGGGTCCTGGGTCCCCAGACCAGTGGAATCAGAACCTCCAGGCACCTCGCCCCAGCATCTGCATTCCAACAACCTTCTGGGTGACTCTCCGGCATCCTGAGGGTCTTAATGATACCTGGTGATGACAAGTGCACACATTCCCCAACCCCATACTCTTGCTAACACCAAATACAGAAAAAATGTGGAAAAACAACATGCTCTAAAAATGAATGGAACCAGGCAGAGCACAGGGGGTTTTCAGGGCTGTGAAACTACTCTGTGTGACACTGTAATGCTGGATATAAGTCATGTTATATATTTAACCAAACTCATGGAATGTGCAGCAGAGTGACCTCTAATGTAGACCATGGACTTGGGATGATAATGACAGGTCACTGTAGGTTCATCGATTGTAACCAGTGTCCCACTCTCATGCCATGTTGACAGTGGGAAGATGCCGTGCGTGTGTGGGGCCAGGGGAAACGAGAACTCTCTACTTTCAGCTCAATTTTGCTGTGAACCTAAAACTGCTTTAAAATGTAAAGTCTGTTTTTAAAAATAAATGGAATCAAGGCTGCCCCTAAAACAGGAATGGTAGATCTCTTGGCACCAGAGGTCACATGGCCCCCTGGGAGCTGCAGCCTCAGGAGTATCCAGAGCCTGGCCCAGACTCCTATCAGAGTCCCCAGCCACACGGGAAGGTCAACAGACATGGTGACCATGAACATGAGGAGAGCGCACATCAAGAAAAAGCCCTGTCCTGAAACAAGGAGATCAAAGCAAGTAAAAATGTGTCTGCAGAGTGTAAGGTCAAAGGGTAGGAGAGTCATCAGAGTATAAACAGTGGGGATCTCCGGACTGTGGGTGATTTGAATCTTCCACTTTGGGTTTGTTCATTTTCCAGACTGTCTATGATGAGTGTGTAATTAGGGCACCTATAATGGGGAAAACAAGAGCTATTGAATGTCAGTGGCTAGCCCAGGGACAAGTGACAGCAGAAGTGGACACTGCCTACCTCCTCCCAACCTGCCTCCCCTTCAGGGATCCAAGAGACCTTTGCTGCATGAAATTCTGCCATGGGAGGCCCTTCACCCGAACCCTGTGCTTTCTGGGGCAAGAGACTCTGAAAAAACCCACTCAACAAATTTGCAGAAAAGAAAATGGGAAGAAACCATTATTTTAAAGTTCTAGAAACCTTACGATTTTTGGAAGCACAGAGCCAGCCAGGAAATTCCTGGCTGTTTTATCTGAGGATGCTTGCTGATGACAATGCAAGCAGGACTCAGGGACCCAGATTAAGGCAGCCACACTGGCCACTTTTGTCCAGGCCACAAAGTTATTTCTTCTTCCTGAACCCTGTGGGCACAATCACAGCCCCCAAGGATGCCCATGACCTAATCCCCAGGATCCATGAGTGTGTTCCCTTATGTGACAAAAAGGACTTTGCAGAGGGGACTGAGGTAAGAGTCTTGAGATGGGAAATTATCCGTGTGGACCCAATGTCATCACAAGGGACCTCATAAGAGAGAGGCAAGAGGGTCAGAGTCAGAGGAGACTCTACAACAGAAGCAGAGGCTGGAGTAAAGTAATGTGCTTCAAAGGTAGAGAGGAAGGGGCCCCGAGCTAAGGAATGCAGGAAGGAATTCTCGAAGCTGGAAAAGGCAGGGGACACATTTTCCCCTGAGCCTCCAGGACCTCAGCCCTGCCAACACCTTGATTCCAGCCCAGTGACACCCATTTTGGACTTCTGACCTCCAGAGCTGTAAGGTAATCAATTTGTGTTGTTTAACACCAAGTCTGCGGCGATGTGACGGGATGCACACAGTGAGGTGGCAACAAGAGGAGGAAAAGCAGGAACGACAAAGACCCGCACAGCTCTGGCCTGTCTGCCGACCAGACCAGATATCTCACTGCTGCCCTCCAGCCAGCTGGGAGCAGCGACAATGCTTACTTGGCAATCCCCAGGAGCAGGGAGAGGCCCCAGAAGGCCGTGCTCAGCGTCCACCACCGGGCAGAGTCCACATGGAGGATCTTGGTATCAGCAGCCCAGGCAATGTGCTCGCAGGGGTAGTATAGCTGGTCGGCCAGGTTGCCCAGGACAGACACACAGCGGACCACGATGTCCTCCTCCTGCAGGACCAGGAGAGAGGGAGATGGGTTTGGGGTTGGACTTACCCACTGCCCATCTTAGGAGCCCAGGCCATGCCAAAAACAAAACAAAACAAAACTTAAATTTTGGTAAGTTCCCAGATGACTCATATGTACCACGACTTGGGATGCCCTGCCTCAGAGCCTTCCTGTCCTGCCCAGGAGTCTCTAGGCCAGGCTCTCTGGTGCAGGACCCTGAGAGGGAAGCAGGGCAGGCAGCCCTGCAGAGAAGCCTGATGAGGCAGAGCTGGGTGGGGTGGTAACACCAGGCTGCATTAATTGGGTCACCTCTCCCAAACCAGAGAGGGGTAGTCACCATCCTGGCAAACAGGCAAACTAAGGTGCTTAGGGTAAGCTGTCACCTGCCCCATCTCATATAGGGACAGGCCTCAGGCCAAGGAACTGCAGAACTCTGTCCCGCACTGTGCCCCTGCCCTCCAACCCTGAGTTCTGAACCACACCACCTGCACCCACCCAGGAAGGGCCAGCTGAGATTGCAGGAACCTGGTCCCTAGGGCTGCATTCCTGGGCCCCACCCCCTCGAGGCCATGCCCTTCAAGGCCTTCAATCAGGCAAGGCCCCAGACCTGTGCGGGGAGGAGATACTCAAGGGGCAGGGGAGACCAACACACATATACACAGGACCAACAAAAGGGGCTTTTGTTCTGGTCAAGGGATATAGGAGGCGCAGAGGCCCCCACCCCTGGCATGGGACTGAGGGGAGTCTTCACAGAGATGTTTGGGAGAGGGGGTGCCCCAGGGATGCACAAGAAGTATGTCCTAACCAAATAAGAGGATAGGAGATGGGTGTCAAAACTGGAGGAAGGTCCAGGGAAATATCTGATATTTGGGATGATCAGGGCACGGGCACTGGGGTGAAATGGGAGCATCTGGGCATCCAGTGGCTCAGAGAGGGGACCCCTGGGAGGGCAGAGGGAATAGACAAGGCAACTTCTCAGCCCATTCCCTGAGGAAATATCCCTGGTAAGGAGCACAGATCTACTGGCACTTATGTGGAATAATGTAGTACTACTAAACCAGCTAAATATGATAAATAACCTACATGTCCATCACCAGGGGATTGGTTAAATAAATCACTGCCAAGCTAAATAACACAGTACTACATGCATGGCCATACAAAAGGGAGGAACTCTTTGGACTGATATGGAATATCCTCCAAGTCGTACTGCTAAGTGAAAAAAGCAAATGGCCAAAGAGTGTCAGTGGCACACAACTGTTTACATAAAACATGTGCATTTGCCTGTGAGAATACAGGAGATCTCAGGAAGGAAACAAGAAGCTGACAACAGTGGCTGCCTCTGAGGAAGAAAACGGGGGCTGGGATGATCAAGAAAAAGTCTTTGGGAATGTGTGAACGTATTAGCTATTTTTTAAATTTATGTTAAAATGAGAACATTTTATCTCAAAAAAGAAAGTACAGGTACAGGGCTGTAGTTTAATGACCTTGTTACCTACTTGAAAAAAATAAACTACAGCCCTGTACCCCATTACCTCTGTCCCCAGGCCATACTGCTTAGTGTACATAAACATGGCCAAGTCATCGAAGAGTCGAAGGATGGTCCTACAGTGGCTGAGTTGGGAGGACAGTGCCAGCAGGCGTGTCCCCACTTCTGACCTGGCGGGACGTTGTTCCACCAGGACCCCGCCAACCAGTTGGCAGCAGTACCCAAGGGTACGGATCTGTGGGAAAGCAGAAACTGTCAGCGGGCCCCGCTCCTGGACTGAGCTGGATCACTTGGCTGTGCGCCCCGTGGGATGAGCAGGCGGAAGAGTTTAAATCAACAAGATTTTAATAAAAGCTGAAAGTTTAAAAAGAAAAGTGTAGGACAAATGTAAAAACATAACATCATTGTCCAGAAGGCACTGTGGGGACTCTAACAAAGTGCTGGCTCATGTCACCGAGGGGCACAGCCCCTGGAGACCGATGTGATGGGGACAAGAAAAGGAAACCCCATTTCCCACCTCCTGGGTCCTCCTTTTCCCAGGTGGCAAAAGGACTAGGCAGAAATGTGTATTTGCATCTACCGGGCTGGACCGACACCCATGGCTGGGCTGGGAAGCGGGGACATGATCCAGCCTCAGCACAGTGGACAAAGGATAATTTGCTTAAATTATTTTAGCGAGAAAGAACCCCCTCAGTGGGTGATTTAGGGCATCGTGAACTGGGTCAGCTTCACCACCCTTCTATCCTATTGTTTTACATACTATTTTTATTTATAATTCCTGTTCAGCCCCATTGAAACAGCAAAACACTGCTATTTAAACATTCAACTGGGTGGGGGGGGTTAAAACCTGAATACCTGGATTGGAACCTAACTGCCCAGGCACCAGAGCATACAGCCTCAATGCCAGTGTCAGAGACTGGTTAGGGCAGGCCGAGTCTCCCTTCAGGCCCTTGGCTGGAATAACCTAAGTGCCTAACCAGAGGGGATCGGTCGGGAGGTAAACAGCCAGCCAGAGGGGAAGCCCTGCCAAACCCTGAATCCCTGTGAGACTTTCCAGGACGACCCCGGGACCACCTGCGGTGGCCTTCTCACATCCTGAATCTGCAAACACGGGGACTGCGCTGGCAGGTGCACGTCCAGCCAGGTTGCGCCGGCGGGAACCTAAATGTCCAACTGCGGGGGCTCTGGTCCAGCCTCAGGCGGAGGCCCGCAGCGTCCCAAGTCCTCATGTGAGACTGACTGGGACGACCCCGTTACCTGCTTCTGCGGTCCGGTCGGATCCCAGAAGCCCAAACATTAGGGGCTGGCTGGTGCCCCGGTAAACGCCCGGCCGCGCCGGGCAGGCCGCGGCCGCCTCGGCGCCTG